TTGAGGTGCAGAAGGAAGTCAGGATGTCTGTGTAAAATCTGTGTTTCAGAAGGGACAAGCTTCATGGTATAAATCCAATTGGCAAGACCGCATGAAGGACTTTAACCTCGTGGGCCTAGTTCATTTTCTCTTTGTTTCCCTCAGTCAATTTCCTGCATCAGCTGAACACCGGCCTGCTTTCCCTTCCCCTCTCCTTTGGATAATATTGCTCAAATTATTGGAGTGTGAAGAATTGACTCTTAAAATGCCCATTGGCAAATTCTGTTTGAGCATTGATGAAATCCAACCTCCCTGCAAGCTTATAATTAATGACAAGCTGCAATATGGTGAAGTTTGATGTGCTCCCCGGTGAAAACGTCCGATCGTCCCTCCCTTACATGCTTGAGGTCACTAGATATCACAATCACTGAACATCATAAACTCAACCTGAACAAATTACAAGAGGGAGGAAGGAGGTGGGTACAGGGGAGGGACAAATCCAGGCAAAAGGCTATGGGCTCATCTCCATCACTGGTTACCGCTGCAGTTTTTTTTGCCCTCCCACCTCTCTGCCTTGTGCTCTGTTGTCTCTAGATTTTGAGGGAGCTGTTTTGTCTTCACACTTGCCTGTAAAATGCTTTGGACGTTAGTGCTATAGAAATGACAAGGTTTGTCGGGCAATCTGCAAAAATGGACAGACCGCGCTTTTCAAGTGCCACCGAGCATGTGCTACAAATCCCCCTCTGTACCAATCCACGGAGGAGATGAGTGAGAGCCCCCGGCTATGGAACCGTGACTCTTTGGCTGACGCTGTAGCACCTTCCCCTTTTAGCTCGGGAGGAGTGCAAGCTCTGGTGTGTTGGCCCAGAGGGCAGTTTTCATACCAGGAGGTAGATGTGAAAGGTGCTGTGATCAGAGGGTTAAGCTTCGTTCTGCTTGTGGTTAGGGGACAGGTTGTACAAGGAGGCAGGCAGAGTGGGAGAGCTTGGCCCTTTGGGAAGATTGTGATTTGCACCCAAGGGTCAGAGTTTGGGCTAAACTATTAGCTTGGGGGGATGGTTCTTTTCTGCTTATGTTCACTTCCTGTGAGATCTTATTACTGTCCTTTGAGGAGAGGACACTGGCTGTGACTGTGTCTTTCTTTTCCTGCCGAGTCATTCCACCAACTTGCAGCAGAATGTCTCTCCTAATACATCCTGGCCGCCTTTTTGTTCTCTGCCTGTACCCCACCGAGCACAGTGGCATCCTCGTCCATGGCTAGGCAGTACCCCAATACTAATAACATACAGTAACTCCTCGCTTAACCTTGTGGTTATCCTCCTGAAAAATGCTACTTTAAGCGAAACGATGTTAAGCAAATCCAATTTCCCCATAAGAATTAATGTACATAGGGGGAGTTGGGTTCCAGGGGGAAAACACAAACACACACACACACACACACACACACACACAC